AGTCTTCCTACCATTATGACCAAGTTGCGAAAACAAGGTCAAACAATTTCTATACAACGAAAGGAGACTGAGACCACATATCTTCGATAATTGGAGAAAATTGTCTGGCATTCGATGCTGTTCTGAACGCGCTCCTATTTACGCGAGGGTTAGGCCGATTTGTACATGATCCGCACGCAGATTCAATCGCGAGCAACGAAGACGAATCACGCAATGGCCGCGAAGCTGGCCCTCAAAGTAGCAGACGTCGTCAGCTCGAAAGTGGTAAACTCGTGGTGCAATCGATGTTGGCTACTCGTCGGGATGTCAAGGTCGGCTTCTGATTGGTGGAGTTCTTCCTGCTACATTTTTGGTGAGGTGTGAGTGTCAGCTTCTGATTGGCGCAGGGAAGTTGAGTCGACCTGTGGGGACTGGCGTGACTCATGCGTGAGCTGTGCGCGAGACGAGTAAGCTGGTGCGAAAAGACACGTGAGAATTGCCACTTTCGGTTTCTCGTCTCGATACCATTCGTCCTCTCAGTTAGGCCAGATTGGCATTCCACCGATAGGGCATCCTTCATTTGATTGTCTCGTCATATCCTGTCGGTCCTCAGGCGTCCGGGCTTATCCTGACCGCATTATTTCACTATTCTCGATGTCTCTTTTTATTTCTGCCTCCCTTTGAATCTGTTCGAAGTTGGCGCTTATCTGAACCCCGAGAGCCTTAGCGATATTGAGCAGCGCCAGCTTATAGTTCGCGTATGTTTTTTCTAAAATCCAACGTCGGAAGCTGCACTAGAACCCGCCATTCAGCACTCGGCTACACAATTGAAGGCAATCGGTTGGTTGAATTGTTGTGTGCTCGGGGATAGCCATTTGATTGGTACCAGTCTGTTATCGCCACGTGCTAGCATCAATCGTTTGGACCGCTTGATAAACCGTTTTATGCACTGTTCTTTTCTTCGTTTTAGCCCGTTCTCCCGGTTACGGTCGCAGACGCCATTCTGGTAAGTGTGTAAAACTATGTGTTAAATGTCTGTTTACCTTACATCACAAATTCACACAACCCTGCATAAAACAGGTTAGCTCAAGCCAGACAGGATACATGTCCGAGCTGAGAGACTCATTTATCTTTGTGCAATTTACGCGCTAGCAACGAGGATATTTGTCTGGCACCATATATTCTAATCGCGAATATGTATTTTGCATAATTTCACAACAAATATGAATTGGAAGAGGCCTGGCTTGCCCTACAAGTCACATCTGCCCCGTATCCTACTGGCACTCGAGGCTGTATGGCAATTTAGTAATTTATGGCCTTGCCATGGGAACTGCCAGACTGCTAGTCCCGTTGGAGGGGTTGATGAGACCAGGTAGGTCCAAAAATTCCTTCAAAGCCGGATGGGAAAATCTTTTAAGGAGCAAGACCAAGTGGAATACAACGGCCTCCTGAGGCCCACTCGGTTCACTGTAGGAAATCCACTTTTATTCTTTTTATCGCCTGAAGCGACAAAGAATGGCTTATATTGCCATTTCGTCATCTTCCGACATGTACTAAAAGTCGTTGAGTCGCAATCAACAACTTAGTCCTCACAATGATGAAGGAGGTTCATTGTATATATCGCGACATGACTTTTCATTTCGAGGGAAAAATTGGTTGAAAATAATCCGTAAATGGATCCCACCGGAAACTGAAGGAGGTTTGTCTTGGAAGAGTGACCGTCCAGTGACCCTGAGCTTAGAAGTGAAGAGTATATTTGGTGCTTACTTAAAAGGACATAAAGTACACCAGATTGGAATATGAATAGGCCTCACTGAACAGTATATCACATTTTCTGACCTTGCAAGTCCACAATAATGGAATTTGTTGGGCAATCGTTCAGAATGTTGCAATCTCTTCGATGCCAACGCTTCCATACTTGCCAATTTGCCAAGGAAGACTTCTACGCTAAACTTTCACTCCGATAAAACCATTGTGGTCATGCCAATGCCGAACATATATATGAAGAAGAGCTGGGTTTTAAAGAATCCCTTTGAGACTTATTTTGATGTTATTTTACATTTCGACAAAAAAGTTAGCTGGAAGGAATTCATGAAATGCTGAGTAGTGAAGAATGTTGGATTGTGCGAAAAAGTACTTGGCTCACTTTACCGCTACTTCCGACAGACCAATCTACAATTCATTTCAACCTATGTTTATTTGAAAATCAGAATTTCTATTGCAGTAAACTTAAAAGGGGTTGTTTGCAAGATAGCTTTTCTTTAAATATATATTTTAAACATATGCTTATTCACTATGGTTTTATCGGGAGAAGTTTTTTATGACGGTCTTCTCTGGTAGATTGAAATAATGAAAAACTTTGAAATCGGAGACATTTCATGATTCTAAGCGATTATTAAAACAACTCTTTTATAGTGGGTGTGCACGTTCATATTATCTGACATACTTTTTTTTCGAAAAGATGAAGACCAGGATGGTTTGGCCTTTTGTATGGTCGCGGTTTCCTTTCGTTGGATAGGAGTTGTTTGACCTCTTTTTCGCCACTTGGTCATATTAGCAGGAAGACCTAGAAGAACGCACCTTTTCCAGAGTCCAGAGTCTCTTTAAAGAGTTGTAGTATGGTGCTAAGAATGACAAGACTCTCTGTCTATTTGGACTACGATGCCCGCGAAACGTCTTTGAAGGTACCAAGTCCACGGACCGACTCCGGAAATGATCATGCATACTATGGACTGTGGACAAGCTGCGTTCCTCTAGATCTTTCTGCCAATATGACCAAGTTGCGAAAACAAGGTCAAACAACTTCTATACCCTTTTTTCGTTTATAAGTAGAGTTTCGAGGCATACTTAATTGCTTCTCAAGTAGTCACCAGATATACTCGTCCCTTCCTAACTGTTTTGTGTGATATAAACATTTTTGCACGAGACCCTGGAATGGCTTGATAGCATTCAAACACCGACTTACGGGTTAACTTCAGCTTCTTCAAAGATTGACACCTGGTGATTAAAGAATGGAAAAAACGGAGTTCTATGAACTATGAAGCCTCCTATTTACATACGAATGGGTCATATCTCAACAACTGCAGTACTTACGCTTAACTCACTATGCTTATACACGATTGGTTTTCTGTAAATTTGGATTTGTCTAGCCTACATCAACTTGAACTAATATATGTTTGTGCTGCAACTATCTTATCTCATATCCTAGTCCCTTCTCTATCTTATCTTTAAAATAGTGTTCGCTCATAGCCTG